CAGACCCTGCTCCACTGCTGCAAGCTCTCACCTGTAAACCAGCAGTAGCCTAATTAGTCTCCCGTCATCAACTTGGCCCATCCCCCTCAGGCTTCTCCACACTTCAGCCCCAGCAAATCTTTAAAAATGTAAATCTGAACCTGTCAGACCTCTCAGGATCCCACAGCGTTTAGGATAAAATCACAAATCCTTCCCAATGTCCTGCAAGACCCAGCAGGGTTGACCTCAGCTTTATCTGGAACTTCCTCTTCCATTTGGCACTCCAGCCACACTGAATTCCTTTCCTTCTCAGAATTTGCCAGCCCCCTAACCCCCACTGGGGATTGAACCTAAGGCCTCATGCTTGCTAGGCAAACGCTCTGTGCTGGGTACAGTGTTTGGTCAAATCCTTGGTAAAATGCCAGTCCTGGGGGGAAGGAAGAGCATGCTACCGGGGAGTGAGGACAACTCTGCTCCCCACAAATGAACAAAACAATAGTGTCCACATCCCCAGGAGCAGGAGGAAAAGTCCTCCTCCTAGATCTCAACTAAAGACCCAGCCTGGGAGCTCCCCACCTGCTCAGAGACATCCTGTTGCCCGCTCAATCTTGGTTGTACTTGCACGAGGATAGTATAGGGCTGGATTATAATGTAAATGGACAGGGACAGAGTGTCTCCCAGGTCCCACTGTTTTGAGTGCATTTACAACAGTCACCTCTGTATCTGCTAAGAAAAGCCTGGAAAAACCAGTGTGCAGTTTGACAGCCTTGAGTTCCAACTCTGGCAACATCATCTGGCAGATGGGAGCTAACCACTAATCTCAGTTTTTCAGTGGTGGTGGTGATGATAATAGTACCTAATTCCCAAGGTTGTGTGGAGAGTCAACAAGGTAACTACCTTCATTTTATTTATTTAGGCAGGGTCTTGCTCTGCTGAGGGCTGGCTTTCTGTCTCCACCTCCTGAGTGGCTGGGACTACAGGTGCACCAGTGTCAGTAAACTACCTTTATTTTATTATTTTTATTTCTAAACAATTTATTCTTTTTGAGGGCTGGAGATGTGGCTCAGCGGTAGCGCGCTCGCCTGGCATGCGTGCGGCCCGGGTTCGATCCTCAGCACTACATACGAACAAAGATGTTGTGTCCACCGAGAACTAGAAAATAAATATTAAAAATTCTCTCTCACTCTCTCTTTAAAAAAAAAAAAAAAAAAAAAAAAAACAATTTATTCTTTTTGATACTGGGAACTGAACTCAGGGGCACTTTACTACTGAGCTACATCCCCAGCCCTTTTATTCTTCATTTTGAGACAGGGTTCTCACAAAGTTTCCCATGCTGCCCTTGAACTTGTGATCCTTCTGTATTAGCCTCCGTAGAGGTGTGCACCACCATGCTCAGTTAAACTATCTTTAAAGCACTTAGTGTTCAGCATCTAAGACACTTATTGCTATTATTATTAAGTGGAGCACTTCCAGGAATTGAGATCTGGTTGGCAGAGCTTTGTCTCTATAAAATCCAGAAGCCATATTTTGCCACCTTTTAAAAAGAAACTCCAAGAAATCTATGTGGTTCATTTTTAATTAATGGGGTATGCATACAAACACCCACAGACATTTGATTTGTTGGGGGAGGACATTGTTCTAGACTCTGGAGGAATAAAGATAGAAAGGGCTCACTTCCTGTCCTAGGGAACAGAATCAGTCAAACTGATAATCACAATTCATTTGGGCATATGGCAGGGCTGCCCAGAGGTTGTGAGGACAGGAGAGCATTTCAGAGCAGGATGATAGGGTGTGCAAGGGCAGAGTTTTGGGTTTAAGGTGGATGGAAGGCAGGATGAATGAAGACTGGCCATTCATTCCCCCTCCAGGGGTGATATTCACTGGGATTGACAGACTGAACTCAGGAAGTGAGTCGGGTACCTCTTTACCCAGCAATGTAAGAACCTAGTGAGGAGTGGGTGTGGGGGTATCAGACCTTTCAGAGTCCCTGCTCTCCTGAATGGGTGGGCTGTCCAATGAAAGAGACAATGAGGACACAAGCATTAATAAATTCCACACCGCTCTCACACCCACCTGCTCCCGGTCCCCGGCTGCTAGAGCAGAGGTATCCTGGAGCCTGGAGCTTTGGAACCAAGCCTTTTTCCTTGGTTGGAGAAGGGGGCAGCCTCCAGATCCCTAGTGGTGTGGTCTCTGGAGATGGCATCCTCAGACTGGGGGTTGGGGCTGCATCCCTCCTCTCCTATCCTACTACATGGCCTTCTTAGGGGCTGGCTGACCCTCTGACCTCCAGACTGTTCCCCCCTCCCAATAATACCCTGGACAGGAGCTCAAGGAAGAAGCGATCCAGAGGCCAGGCCATAGGTCTAGACATAGCTGGAAGGCAGGGATTGGGCCTTAATATTCTGGGGGTCCCCTGAATTCTCTTGGGGAGCTCAGCCAAGGCCAGGGCCTGATTCGGGTCACAAAGCGCAAGGCCGGGATGTGGGTGCCTGGCCCAGGAGGGAGGGGACGTGGGTAGAGGGGTCAGGCTGAGGGAGCAGGCGGGGCATTGGGAGTGGAGGGCGCTGTGTGGGGGTGGGAGGGCGAAGGGTCCGGCCGGTGCAGAGGGGGGCGGCCCCCAGGGAGGGGCACGCTATGTCTTTAAGAGCTGCCTGAGCGCAGGTTGCAGCTGCCTGGCCAGCCCGAGGAGAGACAGCGGAGATTCATTACCCGCCGACACAATGACCATTGATGGCCCCGTGGCGTTATTCAAATCCAGTACCAATTGCAGCCGAGCCCCTTTCTCCGCGCCAGGCCCGTATTGTTGGAGCGGCCCACTAAAAGCCCGCCCCGGCCCCGAGCCGCCAGAGGCGCCCGCTCGGGTTCAGCCCTGCGCCTCGCCAGCACGCCGGTTCTCAGTCCGGCTCCCCGGGCGCTGCAGGTGACCCGGCGGCGCATTCCAGTGCTCCCCGCCGCCCGGGCCACCGCCACCGCCGCCGCCACCTCCGGCGACTCAGCCACAGGGAAGCGGAGAGCGCCCGAGCCGGTGCGTGCGCGGGGCTGGGCGGGGGCGGGGGACCCGCGAGTCCAGCAGCCCGGACCCCGGGCTCGGAAACGCGACCCGGCCTCGGGCCCCAGCTTTCCGGATTCTCGGCGAGCCCAGGCTGGGGGACAGGGAGAGGGGAGTCGGGGTTCCCCGGGCCTGGCAGAGGAGATTTCCCCAACATGGGGCGGCACAGACCCAGCGCGGTCTACTCCAGGGACCCCGGGCCGCGTTCGAAGGAAACACTCCAGGGGTGATGGGGATCCCCATGCTGTGTTGGGATCCGCGTGCCTGCTCGTCCACCTTACCGCGGGATGGGGCGAGACTGCTGAGCATCTGCGAGGTATTCCGAGGGGCAGCTCCGGAGATCTCCGGGTCCGGCGTTTTTAGAAAAGAGCGAAGCGGAAACCCGCAGGAGACCGGGGCCTTGAACTCTGGGGCTTCGCCACTGATTGTCCAAACGCAATTCTTGTACGAGTCTGCGGCCAACCGAGAATTGTGGCTGGACATCTGTGGCTGAGCTCTGGGCGCAACAGGGGTTGGGGGATGCAGGGACCAAGCTCAGGGAAGCCGAGACCCTGGGGGATGGGATGGGGGCGGCTGACTGGCCCCAAGTGTGAGGATCTCGGCCCCAGCTCGACGCGCAGAGGGACGCCGATCTCTGCCATCAGCGTCGCCGTCGCCATCCTCATCCTCTTTCCTTCTCCTCCTCTGCGGGTGACTGGTCCCTCCCGGCGGGATCCTCCAGTAGATCGCGTCGTTTTCCCCCCTTTAAAATTTCTGCCCAAACGAAGCTGGCACGCAGCAGCGGGACCCAAATGTGGTCTGGGAGCCCGCCCTCGGCCAGAGCTGCAGGAAGTCGGGGGTGAAGGCAGATGCCGGCGAACGCGCTCGTTAACTCGTTTTTTAATTTGTTCTATCGCATCCCCCGACCGGTATCCCCTAAACAAACAAACAAAATCCTAAATCTGCCCCTAAATTCCAAGCCAACCAACCCCTCCCACAAACCCCTCCAGACGGACGGATGGACTGAGCCTCCTCCAACCGCTGCTAGAGTCCGAGAAGCTCGGGAATCATGCGCTCCAGCCGGGCAACCACCTCTGCTTTGGAAATAGAACTTGGACAAACGAATCCTTTTCATTAAAGAAAAATCTTCGGAGATAGTGGGGTTTATTTATTCGTTTATTTCCTCAAAAGTTGGGGTCAGGGAGTTGCATGGGAGGAGAACCACTGGCAGCTGTTGGGTTGAGCCAGTGTCACCTGTCTCTGACCCCTTTTGGGCTATAGGCTAAAAATGACCTGAAATGACCTGGAGTGCCTTATCCCTGGCCAATTTCCATGGTGGCGCTGGCATCAGCTGTGGGGAGCACCCGATTTCTCCAGCCCCTCTCCTGCTCCGCAGTAACCGGGGTGTGGTGGAGGCTGGGATACCCCACATATATCATTCCACACCCTTTGCAGGCAGTGGAAAGGAACCCTAGTGTGGTCAGTTCCAGGAAAGTGGGACAGGCCATTCCTGAAGCTCCCCAACGGGAGAAAAGGAGGGACCCTCAGGTTACAAGAATTTAGACAAGCTGACCCTCTAAAAGTGAGACTGTGAGGGCCATTACAAGTCCCTTACTCTGTTCCCTAATATGGAGACTCTGACCTCAGCACCTAATGAGGGCTGGTCATGCGGGCTCTCTGGACAGCGTTCAGACCCAACGCTGGCCTTAATCTGCACCCAGTATTGCCTGGACCAGTAATCCCAACATGGATGCTCCCACCCACACATGCCTAGAGGGCCTCCACTGCAGCAGGACTGGGGAGAAGTCCACCAGCCAGGGGTCATCTGTTCTCTACGAGAATGATGTGTGCCCGACATTCTTCCCAACACAGCTGGGACACTGGGCACTTTCGTCTCCACAGGGGGAGAAATTCCACCTGAAATCATTGACATTTAAAGAAAAGCAATGTTTGGGGTGGGATGATAGTGCCCTAATTCTTTTTTGAGGACTCCCTCCAGCAGACAAAGCTCTTTCTGCCAGATCGCGGGAAGGAGAGGGGACTCTCATCTATGCCACTCCCATTCTGGGTTCTGGGGCTGCTGAATGCAGCTGGTGGGACAAAGCCTGGCCTTGGACAGACCAGTGGGGATGTCCTGGGACTCAGACTAGTCAGCACAGACTGGCTCTGCACCTCCTTTTCCAGATAGTCCTATCAGACTACCCGCTCTGGGGTAGCTTGAGTTTTAGCCTTTTGGTTAAAGCGCAGCTGAGAGCCCTAGGTGAGGATAGAGAGGTCATATCAGACAGAGGCTTTGGCTGGGGGAACTGGGGTGCCACCCATTTCTGAGGATGAAGAAGCTCCAAGCAAGGCTAATAAACAACCTAGTCTTTTATTTGCTCAAGGCCAGCTGTTGCAGGCCCCAAGGACCCCAGACTTCCAAAACAGACAGAGGGAGGGGRTAAACCCCTCTGCCTACCAGGTGCTGCTTGCCCCGACCCTGCTTTCTGCAGGAGGTGGGAAGGGACACAGACTTTACATCTGTGCCATCATATATATCCTTGGCTTTCAGGTATTATGAATATTCAGTTAGTGTAGAGAAGGAAACTGAGGCACATTGAACCCCCCCCCCAGGCCTCTATTGGCTAATCGGAGGTTGGGCTACTTCCTCTTCTTCTCCACCCACAGAAGAATGAACTATAGACAGCCTGGTGAGGGTCTCAGGAGCCCATCTGGTGGCCTGTGTGTGGGGGGGAGGCCAGCCAGGGTCAAGGGCTGGGGGTGGGGGGAGCAGGAGGAGGGGTGTGGCTGGGATAGCAGCTGCTGGGTGAGGGGGAGGGAGTCAGTATTGAATAGGGGACCCCAGCTGGGGTTCCATAATGATATCAGTGGGGGACAGACAGAGCCCTCTGCTGTCCAGATGGGGAAACTGAGGCGGAGACTCCTCCAGTCTTTGGGAAGGGAGGGGTTTCCCATCAGTTATTCAGGTCCATCCATCTTCTCCACAAATGTGGCCACGAGCTGGAGTGCTCATTGGCAGTCACTCAGTGCTCAGACTGAGACAGGAATGGAAGGCAGCTGGGTCACCTGGCCACAGGGCCCCACTCTGCTCCTGACACACCAGAGGGGCACCCTCCCCCACCTCAGCTGCTGGGAAGGAGCTCTGGGCTCAGGAGCCTGACTGCCTGCTTTCCCCTGCTCACGTGCCTGAGAAAGGCTCATTTTTAGCACCTGGCCTCTTTTCCCTGCCTGGAGGGAGCTTGGGGGATAGAGCAGGGAAGAAGGCAGCCACGGGGGACAGGGAGACCTGAAGGCTGGGCCCAAGGGGATGTTTGTCTGTTCCGTTCTCCCCCTGCAAGGGTGCCGAGGAAGAGAGGGGCCCTCAGCCTCCATGCAGCGTGGAAATGAAGAGGACGCTGTCCTGGTCCTGTAGCTGGTAGTCCAGCTCACCCTGGGGCAGGAGAGAGGACAGGGACCATCAGGACACGSTCTAGTTTCTCCCCAGGTGTTGGGAAGGGAACCAGGGAGGACTTGCTGCTCTTAGAAAGACAGACTTTGCCAAATGAAATGGGTGCTCTGTACATCAACATGCAAGTCTAGAGGTGGTCCTAGATCTCACACTCACCACCTCCCCAGCAGCCCATTCTCTCCTCACTTGGGGTGGGACACTTGAGTAGCATCAGTTCAGGAGCTGGAGTGGCACAGAGATTATCCAGCCACCCTATCTGGGCTTAATGAGAGGCCCAAAGCTTTTCTACTGAAGCAGTGGCTGGGAGAGCAGGGGCTGGGAGAGCAGGGGCTGGGAGAGCAGGGGTAGGGGCTGGGAGAGGAGTATCCCCCTTACACTGAGGTACTGACCAGCAATTCCCAGTCGGCATCATTAATCAGCACCAGAATTCCTGGTCGCCTGTGGAAAAGATGGCATAAGTAGCAAGGATTGAAAGGCAGAAGACTCAAGAGTCTTTGGGCCGTAGGAGAAGAGGCAGCCCTTCTTTCTGAGGTTTTGGTTAAAGATCTGCCAGGCCAGGCGCAGTGGCACAACCTATAATCCCAGTGGCTCTGGAGGCTGAGGCAGGAGGATCAGGAATTCAAAGCCAGCTCAGCAAAAGAGAGGCAACTCAGTGAGACCCTGTCTCACAGCTCAGTGGTTGAATGCCCCTGAGTTCAATCCCCAGTACCGCCCCCCCCCCCAAAAAAATCTTCTTGGAAGTAGAGGAACCCAGGTAAAGGAACCCAGGTCAGAAGGCCTGGTCTTAAGGGCCAGATGGAAACTGTGTGCAAGTGACAATACCATCACCCAGACCTTAGGCAAATTATTTTGTTTCTCTGCACATCAGTTTCTTTTTTTTTTTTAGTGGTACTGGAGACTGGCCCAGGGACTTGGGCATGTTACAGTCAAGTGCTCTATCACTGAGCTACATCCCAGGGCCATTTTTGGATTTTATTTTGAGACAGGGTCTCATTAAGCTGCTAAGGTCAGCCTCAAACTTGAGATGCTCTTGTCTCAGCCTCCTGAGTAGCTGAGGTTACAGGCATAAGCTGCTGCACCCAGCTGCACWTCTGTTTCTTCATCTGAAAATGGGGTAAGCAGGCGCCTGAGTCACAGGTGTGCCCAAGGATGCAAAGAGATACAAAGGGCTTGCTGGCCACACTGTCTGTCATGATAACTGGAGAAGCAGCATACTTTTCCTGGGGTTTAATCTTAGTATTTTAGGCCCCAGATAGGAAGAACTCCAGCTTCAAGGCCCCCCACATGCCCATGCTTCCCCTTGAGAGGAGGCTACCTTAGCTCTTATAGATCAGGGATGGTTGCCAGCGGGACCTGAATGCTCAAGAGTAGCCCTGCCTCAGACCCACAGGCAGCTTAGCTGGCTCCTACTGGCAGTAGCCCAAAGGGCACTGCTATTCTCGCAGGTGGCCTCTGGGACTGCTGCACCAGGGTCTGAACCAGAGGCCCTGGGGGGCACCCCTAGCCCCCAGGAACTGAAGGAGCCTCACAACTGTGTTACCTGCCTCTTTTACTTAAGCTTGAAGAGGCCTTGTTAGAAGTAAAGTGACTCCCTGGCACATGGAAGCTGGTCCTTTGCCATCAGGCTGGGCTAGGCTGGGTGAGAGAGGTAGGAAAGCTTTGGACTTTTATAGGGTATCCATAATGAGAGATTAAATGTGTGTTCCTGAGAGGGTACATGCATGCAGTTAATGACCCCTGGAATCTGAGACCTGTGTGTCCCATATAGTACCTACTGGCAATATGTTGCTATTTATATTATAATGAAATAAAATGGAATGTTTAGTTCCTCACTCACACTAGCTGCACTACAAGAGCTCAACAGCCCCATGTGGCAGCAGTTACCACACTGGACAGCACACATATGGAACATCTCCATCACTGCAGAAAGTTCCATGGGATAGCACTGTCCTAGATAGTTCAATGACAAGAGGGACCTTGAGCAGCATCTTTTTCTTAGAATTTTCTGTATATAGAGAGTAATGGAGGCCCAAAGAAGCAAAGTAACTTGCCTCAGATTTCACAGCAAGTTTGTGGCTGCCTGGATTTTTTGGAGAAATTCATCAGGCTCCTTTCATCACGTGTGTGTTGCCCAGGTCTTGTGCATGAGAGGCAGGCACTCTACCAACTGAGCTGTATCCCCGGCCCCTCGTGAGGGCTTTTAACAAATTCCGGACAGTCTAGTGTGGTATCAAGAAAACTGAAAATCGACCTCAGACAGAACTGGATAGCTCTTTTGTCAGAGGAGACAGGGAGAACAAAGAGGGAACAGGACCCAGAGGAGGCTGAGACTGAACCCAAGGATAGGGGCCCAGACGTCCTTCCCACCCTGTCTTCTTCAGGGAAGAGAGGAAGGGACTCACACACTGTCTCCCTGGAGGAACAGCTCTGGCCGCTCTTTTAGCAAATTCTTCTTGATCCAGATGAGGAGGTTCCGGATGTCCCCTGGAGAGGAAGACACAACTAATATCAAACCCAGGTGATTATTTTTTGTTTTGTTTTATTACCAGGGATTGAACCCAGGGTTGCTTAACCACTGGGCCACATCCCAGGCCCTTTTTACTACTTTTTAAAACTTCAAAAATAGGGTCTTGCTTAGTTGCTAAGGCTGGCCTCGAACTTGTGATTCTCCAGAGTCAGCTTCCCGAGTCTCTGGGATTACAAACATGCGCCACCTGGTTCAGCTCTGAGGCTGGCTCTGAACTCACAATCCTCTTGCCTTAGCTTCCTGAGTTTCTAGGATTATAGGCTTGCACCATGGTGCCCAGTTCCTGCTAATTAATATTCTCTGTATTATTACAATTTTAGAAAGTGTGATGCTGAAGTGAGCACTTTTTTTAATATTTATTTTTTAGTTTTAGGTGGACACAATATCTTTATTTACTTACATGTGGTGCTGAGGATCGAACCCAGTGCCTCGCGCATGCCAGGCGAGCACGCTATCACTTGAGCCACATCCCCAGTCAATGTGAGCACTTATTTTTGATCTGTTAACTAGCAAGGGATCCTCCCCCTCAGCCTCCCCAGTCACTGGGACTACAGGTGTATGCCACCACAGGCAGCTGCCACCCACAAGTCCTGGAAGCTGATCTGGACTGCCCCAGCCAGGCTTCTGAGAGGGCCCTGAAGAGCCCCTTCCACCTCCATCTCCAGCCAGTCCCAGATGGAGAGGATTGGGCTTTGCTCTTGGAAGGGTCTGCATATATTTCCCTTTGTGAGGGGAGAGAAACAATCACTGAGCTGATAACATCAGTTAATTTCCTCTAGCACAGGGAGAGAAGGATCCTTCACCAGCCAGGGACACTGACAGATCACTGCTCCGCCACTCCCTGCCTCCAGAGCCCTCAAGACTGGGGATGGCTACCTTGAAGACGCAAGAGGTTCAGGGTCAAAAGGGCCTCTCCTGCTCAGCTGAACACCAAGATTTGCTTCATTGTGGATCTGGTGTTCTGGAGCAGCCACCAGTCTCTGTGTACTCACACGGAGGCTCAGAGGCTGGGTCACCTCAGGATCAAAGGTGCCAGGCCACAGCACACTGGGATCTGGCTCTATAAATTGCTTGGACATGAAGAAGTTTTTGCTCTGTGCTCCATGTGGGTTCGGAAGCGCAGCTCACATGCAACTGCCGCCTTGGGTAGGGCTGGAAGCACTCTCCCTGGCCTGCATGCCACCTTCCCAGGCGGAAGGCTGTAGTCAAGATGTGCTGAGCCTCAAGTTGGGCACCAACACCCCTAGATTGTACACCAGCAGAACACAGGGCCTGTGCCTATAAACAGGCATAGTGTCCATAAGCTGAGGCTGCTTCCTTCCAATTTTATTTATTTATTTACTTGTACTGGGGATTGAACCTAGGTATGCTCTATTACTGAGCTATACCCCTAGTCCTTTTTATTTTTTGAGACAGGGTCTCATTAAATTACTGAGGCTGGCCTCAAATTTGCAATGCTCCTACCCAGCCTCCTGGGTTGCTGGGATTACAGGCATGCGCCACCACTCATGTAGTTCCTCCTTTTAAACAATGGAGTCTGCCGGTGGCATTCACCTGTAATCTCAGTCACCAGTGAGGCCGAGGACTGCAGGTTTGAGGTCAGCCTCAAACTTAATTAGCAAGCCCCTAAACAACTTGGCAAGACCCCTAAAAAATAAAAGGGCTGAGGATGTAGCCCAGGGTAGAGCATTTGCGTAGCCTGCGTAAGGCCCCGAGTTCAGTCCCCAGTACCACCAAAAACAAAGAGGCTAGAGGTGTAGCTCAGTGGTAAAGCACCTCAGGGTTCAATCCCCATCACCAAAACAAAACAAATAAAATAAACAAACTGGAATCCCCAGAGTCCCTGGAACAGGCATGTGTGCGAGTATAGTCTCTAGCTATCTGTAGTCCACTTGGACTCTTGGAGGCTCCTCCCCAAGGCTTGGGTTCCAGAGGCTTTCTCTTGGCCCTGAATCCCCTCGGCCTCCACCTGGCACTGTCTGGTGGACCTCTGGCCCATACGTCTTGTGGCCGCTCGATAGAGCCGCCACGACCTGACACATCCATCAGGCAGCCTTGCGGGTGGGGCTGTGCTTGTGTGCGGAGGCAGCAACAGGGACTGGGCAGTGCCTGGACTGGGGACCACAGACTGCACCCCCACAACCCTATCTCCCTCCAAAAGGAGGGAATGTCTGCTCCATTATGGATAGGCTTGGGGGTGGGGGAGGGCCAGTGGTCATGCTGGGGTCATCCACGTGATGGCACCAWCATGGAGTCCCGAGGGGTGGGCTGAGGGGTGAGTCTGCTGCCTGGTGCTGGCTCATTTATCATGATGCTCCTATTTGCTGAGGTCACTCCCTCCCTCCTCTGCCCACCCCCCACCCCAGGCCTGCCCACATTTTTGATAGCCGGTTTCCATGGTGAGGCTACCACATCACCACCGGTATTGTTCCCCCATGCTTGAATTTGAGAGTGGGGAGAGGTAGAACTCAAGGCTCCCTTCTCAGGCTGCAAAGACCACTCGGCCTCGCCTGAAACACACCCCCAGGGACATCTTGCTCAGCTTGTTGAGGCCCAGACAATATGCAAATAGGCTTCAAGCCAGATGGTCGGCTTCCAAAGGCACCCAGGGGAGGAGGAAGGGTTAAGCAGAGTCAGGGGCTGGTGGCTTGGGGATGGCCCTGAGATAAAGGTGGGGCTGAGAGACTCTCAATTCCACCTTTCCACTCTGTGTTCTCCTGCCTTTCCAATTCTGCTGAGAGTGGTCTCCTTCCTATGATCCCAGGCAACCATTCAAAAGACAAATATTTATTGAGCAACTACTATGTGCCAGGTACAAGGGAGATGGTGGTGAGCAAGATGGAAGCAGAGCCCACAGTCATGGAGCTAAGAGGACAGCAGTGAAACAGACACGACTTAAGTAGTTAAGTAGGTGATAAAATGCTACCTCCTTTGTCTGGGATCAGGAAAGGCCTTTTTTGGGGTGGGGTGGGTGGTAAGAGGGATTGAACCCAGGGGTGCTTAATCACTGAGCCACATTCCCAGCCTATTTTTATACTTTATTTAGAGACAGGGTCTCCCTGAGTTACTTAGGGCCTCACTAAATTGCTAAGGCTGGCTTTGAACTCAGGATCCTCCTGCCTCAGCCTCCTGAGCAAGGGGATTACAGACATACAACATCATGCTGGACTCAGGAAAGGCCTTTCTGAGGGYGTAAACACTGAAGCTCAGGTCTGAAGAATGAGTGGGGTGGCTGTGGGGGAGTACCCCAGACATCAGTAAGAGCACACGGGAAGACCTAAGGCAGGATGGAACTGGCAGGTACAAGGTAACAGAAAGGAGAGGTTAAGAAGCTCAAAATGATGGGACCAGGGTTATGGCTCAGGGGTAGAGCTTGCCTAGCATGCATGAGGCACTGGGTTTAATCTCTAGCACCACATAGAGATAAAAACAAATAAAATAAAGAAGCTCAACATGTGGGCTGGGGTTGTGGCTCAGTGATAGAGTGCTTTCCTAGCACAGGCAAGGCCCTGGGTTAGATCCTCAGCACCACATAAGAAAAAAAATAAATTAATTAAAGATATTATATTCAACTACAACTAAAAAAAAAATTAAAAAAAAAAAAAAAAAAGAACAGCTCAACATGAGAGGGACCCCGAGGAGGGGCCTGCTCTGGAAGGTGCCACTCTCTTTTCATGAACCCCAGCGGGGCTGACCAAGTATGTGCTGTTTATCTGCCTTGACCCTTGAAGCCTGATCCAGCTCAAATATATGGCATACCCTCCCATTTCTAGAGCGGGAGCTGAGGCTCAGAACCCTGAAACTCTTGCTGAACACAGGGGCAACTGAGGGGGGTGAAGAGTCAGACTAAGACCACTGACTGGAGTTGGATAGTCCTGGTTTTGAGTTGGACCCTGTCACTTGTACTCATTGACCTTGGGAAAGGAATTTCCAGAGCCTCAGTTTCTTTGCCTTGCAAAACAGGGTGGTCAGAATGCCTGACAGGTTGTTGTGAGGACTGAATAAAATGATCCACATACAATTTTTGGCACTGTGCCTGACCTATCAATGTTGTAATTATTCTGGAGTCCAGAGGGGGAACCTGTCTCCTCCATACTCTCTGGTGTCCTGGGCTTCCACACACTTGCTCTGCATAGCAGCCTGGCACCCCAGCTTTGGAAAAGTCTGTTGAGTCTAATAATTTGTCAGTCAGTGCTAGTTGGGGCTTTCTGAAAGAGAATTAGGGAAGTAGTAACATTGGGCTTCCTTCCTTGTTTGTTTKTTTTTTTAATCTTTGTTTCCCCCAGGGCTGAGGACCGAACCCAGGGCCTTGTGCGAGCTAGGCAAGCGCTCTGCCACTAAGCTAAATCCCCAACCCCACCCCACCCCCCTTTTTTAAGACAGGGTCTCTTTCTGTTGCCCAGGCTGGCCTCAAACTCCTGGGCTCAGGTGTTCCTCTTGCCTCAGTCTCCCAAATAGCTGGAACGATGGGCCCCTGTGCCTGACTTCTTCCTTCCATTTTTTTATATTCAGACCCATAAGATGCCAGTGACCGGTCAAAGCCCTCAGGACAACCTGGGAGTAAGGAATCATCCTGAGGCCACGTGTGCTAGCAGCCAGACTCCTACTCATGGCACTGGGGAGGAAGATGGATACTTAATGCCAAGGTGTCCAGCATAGAAGACCTTGCGGCCTGGCCTGCCCGCTGGGGGAGGGCAAGTGAAGACAGCTGCTGCTCTGTGGAAGAGTGGTTAAGAGTTCCTCCTCTGGAGCCAGAGGGAACTTAGCTGCGGGCTGGATGGCCTTGAGTAGGAAGTCACTTGACCTCTCTAAGTCTTGATGTCATCTACCTTTCAACAAATGGGAACAATAATCCACACTTCAAGAAGGCTGTGAGAATTAAGGTATAGCCTAGAAGCAGGCCACACAGCGTGCAGCACACAGGACACGCTGAACAGACATGTGCCACAGGAGCACATGGCATGTCCATCCTAGCAGGCTCCTGGGAAAGCTTCCACCAAAATCCTTGCCCCAGTGACTTCTCCTTGTCTGGGGTGTATACACGCTGCCCAATATGGCAGGGCCACCAAGGGTGTCAACCCCAGGCTCTTGGGGCTGAAAAGGAACAACCTCAAGGTCCCATCTGACATTGAATCCTGCCTGCAACAGACTCTCATTCAGCCTCCTTGAACACCTCCGGGGCAGGAGGTCACTCCCAGGGAGTTGTGCTTCTCCAGCAGAAGCAAGTTTTCCTGCCACTCCCATCCACTGGGCCTGTTGGTCCACAGGGCCCACGCCAACAATATGACCCTTGTCCCCATAACAGCCCTTCAGATTTAGGAGATCCTGGATCCCCTAAATCTTCCCTTCTGTAGATTATACCTTCCTGTCCCCACCAAGGCTCCAAGACAGGGTTCTTCTGGGAGCCCACCCCAGGCCTAAGTTGAAAGGGAGAAGAAAGAGCTGGCATAGGGGGAGTGAAAGAGAAGAGGGGTGGAGGGAACCTCTGAGGCTCCATTTACAAATGAATGGGGTAAGAATGGAGCAGTTTGTGGGCTAAACTGGCCTCAGAAGGAGGTTTACAGATGTGCGAGGGGACGCTCCTCATTGTTTAATTAAGCAGAAAGTGGATCTTTTCAAAAGCAATTTTGCACAGGGACTGGGAGGGGTGGGAGGAGAGGAGGGAGGCAGGGAGGGGATCAGCAAACAGGCCCCAAGAGCAGAGAAAGGAACAGCTGGCCCCAGAGAGGCTGTGAAACGAATGCTAAGCAGTTTAAAGCGCCCAGAAGCTCTGCTCAGCTCCTCCCCTCCTTCACCAGCCACCCTTTAATGTGAATCAGCAGGAGGAGGGGGCACGCGGGTGGGGCGAGAAAGGTGAGGCAGTCTCCTTCCTACAGGGGAAGGGGCTGGGAGCCTGGAGTTGAAGGGATCCTTGAGTCATAAAGGCCAGCAGCCAAAATGGCCAGACGGTGGTTGGTGCCTACCCCCAAAATCCCCTCCAATTAAGGAGATGATGACAGTTAACACACACACACCACTCGCTTCTTGCCAACACATACTTGCAACCACTTGCTGGGTCTGCACATTCTACTTCACAAAAGGACATATACTTACATCTGGAACCAACTTTTCCAAATTGGAGTTGTTCAACAGATATCAGGCTCAATAAAGAGTGGAGTTGGCCCATTTTCCATTCTACACATAGGGAGAGAGAGGTTGGCCGAAGCCACTAATGTGCAATGCACACTGCCAGGGCTCCTCTCTTGGAGTTTCATCCCCTTTGGCCACTCCTGTCCTTTTACCATGTGGGGTGGATTGGAAGTTCTCCTCTGGCCCAGGACTCACAGGTCCCCTTTTTTTGGTGAGACTTATCATAGTCTACAGTTTTTTTTTTTTCTTTTTCTTTTAATACTGGGAATTGAGCCCAGGAGCACTCTACCTCTGAGCTACCTCCAAACCCTTTTCATTTTGACCAGGGTCTCATTAGGTTTCCAAGGCTAGCCTTGAACTTATGATCCTCCCGCCTCAGACTCCAGAGTTGCTGGGATTGCCACCATGCCTAGCAGTCACAATCTGTGATCCATGGCTCTTGCTATTTCAGCTGGAGTATCTAAGACCTGCTTGGCCAAGTGGCAGCCAGGGCTGGGAAGGTTGCCAGATGACAGATCTGGGCATGGGTTGGGGAGAGAATATAAGACTTCTCTAGCAGTATCAGGCCCCTTGGGTTCATGAGTGCCAGAGTAAGGCCTGGCAATTGCAAACTAACTCTGTGGCTGCAATGTGACCTGTGCCTCTGGACACCGCAGGTCACAAATGGGGACCAGGAGTGAGCAATAGGGGCATCTTGCCTTCCTTCCCTGGGTTGATGGGCCTCCATGTTTTGCTATCTGGCTGAGGAATGAAGGAACAGAAACCTGAGTCCTAGCTCCTAGCCCAGCTTCCCTACCTAGGTAATTGTGGACAGGTCTCAGGTCCCTCCTCCTTGGTCTGTTTTCCTTCCCTCTGAGGTCTGACTTCCTTGGTGATAGGATCTATCAGGGTCATAACAAAAGTTAAACTAAATAACCAATGAGGGTCATGAGTGAAAATAACAGTGTAAAAACTGGAAAACAGGTCTTGGGTGTGATACGTCAGGGTGATTCAGGGAGCCTCTTGGAACAAATGATGGGTTAATGCCTGGACTGCAGAGAMCCTGCGGTCTGGGTGTGCTTAAGTAATTACATGAAAAAGATCCCTTTTTCACTTTAACTTATTTATGTATTTTTTGGTAATGCTGGGATTCAAACTCAGGGCCTCCTGCATGCCAGGTAAGCTTTCTACCACTGAGCTACACCCCCAGCCCAGTTTCGGCCTTTAAAAATTGAAATAATAGGAGCTATCTCCTAAGAATGTGGGAAAATGATCTACAAAACCTACTGAGACTTTACCTGCCACTCCAAACTCAGCCTGTGCCCCCCTTAATCCTGGCCTTCCTTCAGCACTCTACCCAGACCAAGGCTTTTTGCCCCTTGGAGTTTTCCCAAGTGCTGTCTCCCTACCTGGAAAGGCCCAGGCCTCTTTGCTCTCTCCCTGCAGTTTATCAGGTTGGCTTCCTTCCATTCTTCAGGCCTTCACTCAACCTCACCTCCTTGAATTGAAGAGGCCTTCCCTGTCCACTTGTTAGTCCCATTCCAAGCACCTATGTGCTCTTCTCATGCCAATCACTGGAGTCTGTGATGGTACAGTTTTATGTTTGTTWCCTTATTTACTGCTGGCTCCATTTGCATGCCACAGTTAACTTCATGAAGGCAAGAACCCACCCAGCAACCAGTGCACTGGAGGCACCAGTGCAAAAGGAGGCAATCAAAAAATATTGCCAACTACATGAAAGAATTAAGTACTTCCTACCATTCATTCCTGGCACTTGCTGAGTACTCTGTTAATGAATGAATGAGATGAARCTAGAATGGTGAAAACTAGTGGGCTTTCATGCCAAGCAAACTTAAGAGGAAATAAATCATAATGTGCTATTTTAATAAACTTCCAGGAAAGATCTTTGAGAGGCTTTATCTGAGAACCCTTGCTTCCTCTCAAGGCTGCCAAGGTTGCGTGGCCATCTGCCACTCTAAGAAACAAGGATCTATCATCTGAGGGTCCCCGTCACCCCCAGAAAGGATGCAAAATCTTACTATCCTGCCGTTTTAACACCAACTACACACAGCCCCAGCTCAAGGTGAGCAGTACCCTGATTCTGGATAAATGTCCCCCAGCCTCTAAGAATGGCAGGGAGCCAGGGACCCAAAGGAGGGCCAGAGATGGCCATGGCAACCAGTGGATTTGGACAAGTGTAATTGTTTTGTTCCTGGCAGATGTGTCCACTTCAGAAGAATCTTTTTTTTTTTTTTAATATTTATTTTTTAGTTCTCGGCGGACACAACATCTTTGTTGGTATGTGGTGCTGAGGATCGAACCCGGGCTGCACGCATGCCAGGCGAGCGTGCTACCGCTTGAGCCACATCCCCAGCCCCGAGAAGAATCTTATCAAACCTCACCTGATCATTTTTTAGTGTCCACCTCCTGGAACCTCATTCCCCTGCTTCCGCATATGCTTGATGGCCTTGTCTCAGCCTTAGAAAGAGACTGGGCTCCTATCCCTGAGTATCTGCTCCCAGCAGGACTCACTGCTAGGGCTGTAAAGGACCTGACAGTCACCAGATCCAGACCCTGCCCTAGGCTACACTGATGGTTACCCTGGCATACCTCTGGGTTAACTCTTTAAAACCTCCCCACTTGAAGGCAGGGGCTGACTCCTCTTGTTCATGTTTGTCACCTCAATGACCAGACACAGTCCACCTCACAGAAAGTGCTCAGTATATATTTGTTCAAGAAAGATTAACAAGTTTCTCCTTTAGTCAACCTCCTTCCTCCAATCTTTCTGGCTGGAGCCTTTTCATTAGTCTAAATCTCTGCYCTGTCAGGAGAGTCCAATTGTTAGGTCCGTTCTCAGGGAAGGTTACCTCCTTGAAAAGACCTTCCCTGTGCTGCCACATTATAATAATAGAGGGCTGGGGATATAGCTCACTTGGTAGTTGCCTCACATGCACAACGCCCTGGGTTCAATCCCTAGCACACACCCCCACCCCCCACACAATGGCATAATTTACTTCCTCCTCCTAACATCTCTAAGAGAGAAGGACTGCCATACCCACTTCACAGCTGAGAATACTAGAGTTAAAGAAGACTAGGTCCCTGGCCTAAGGTTCTAAGGAGTATGAAACCTTCACAGAACTAACTAACCCCACTTCCCTCCCATGAAGCTGGTTGATCCCAGAGAAGATGGGAGAAAAGTATTCTGGTGACTTTTTCTTCCTTCCCACCCCTGGCCAGGAAAATCCTACCCATTTCCACTGAACAGGGTTAAATGATCCCATAGACCCTCTCCTGCCCAATATCCACTCCCCCACCCCAGCTTAAAAAGCCAATACTCACAGGGCTCCTCCTGCCCAGGCAAGGTGACTTGATGTTTTTTTACACCATCAAATAGGAGCTCCGCACCACCTCTGCAAAGGAAGGCCAAAAAAGACAGCCAGGTGAGCTCCTGCAAACAGAACTAAGGATGAGAACTAAGATGAGAATGGAAGAAGAATTAAGGATGAGAATGGAAGTAGAAGCCCAAGAGATACAGAGACCAAAGTTCAGGAACAACACGGCACTGGTGACTAACTCTCAAATGCGACTTCCTGCTGTGGTAAGGTAGGTATAAGTAATTTTTACTAATAATCAAGCAGACTGTTTGCCCCAGAAGCAGCCGAGTACACAGTTACAGAACATTAGCTTTGGAGCTGCCAATTCCAACATGGAGACCAGGCTCCATCTCTGCCAACCAGGGCATGTCACTCCATCTTCTTTCTCTTTTTTTTTTTTTTGAATTTTTAATATTTATTTTTTAGGGGCTGGAGATGTGGCTCAAGCGGTAGCGCGCTCGCCTGGCATGCGTGCGACCCGGGTTCGATCCTCAGCACCACATACCAACAAAGATGTTGTGTCCGCCGAGAACTAAAAAATAAATATTAAAAATTCTTTTTAAAAAAAAAAAATATTTATTTTTTAGTTCTTGGCGGACACAACATCTTTGTTGGTATGTGGTGCTGAGGATCGAACCCGGGCCGCACGCATGCCAGGCGAGCGCGCTACCGCTGAGCCACATCTCCAGCCCCACTCCATCTTCTCATACCTCGATCTTTCCATTTGCAAAAATGCTGAAAAGCCTTGTAAGACCTTCTGCAGATCCTGTGCATCTCAAAGTTTCCTCTGGCCAGGTGAGGTCTAGAAATGACCCTGTCCCTGTCCCCTGCTGCTAGCCTGGTGGGCATACCACAGCACTGGAGGCTGAGAGTCCACTGAGCTCTCAGCCTCAGCTAGAATCCACCAAGAGTAATCCTGCCATTTATAAGATGCTCCTCACCTTATTTCATCCTCAAGGCATCACAGGGAAGAACTGGGAGGGAGGCAGATATCATTAACTACATTTCATAGAGAAGCAGGCTAATTCCTGGAAAGGTTAAGTGACTTGTGCAAGGTCAGACAGGAAGCAGCTGCACTAAAATATGAATCTAACTGGTTTCTGCTCAGCCCCAGCAGCCTTGCTGAAAAATAAATAAATAAGACTCCCCAAAGGTCAGAAAGCCCCCTGAGGGCAGAGCTTGGTTCATTTCTGTGTCTCAACATTGTGCCCTGGGAAGGCAGGAACAGTAGAGATAATCAGAGTAAAGTACAGAAGCCAGGACTCCTGATGTGGGCAGCAGGACTCCTTCAGTGCCCCATACTCATCTCCCTTTGGGTCTCCTGATTCCCATCTCAGACCTAACATGGGTCTGACCTGAGAAGGCCCTAATAGACTTGATGGATGGGATACCTCCCAGCCTACTACCCTTTCCCAATTTCAGGGAACAGAGATGTCCTGAGACAGCCCACTGGGAGGCAAAGGCAAGGAAAGCATTGTCATGGGAGAAACATGGGGCGACTGTCATCCAAACAAGGTCACGCTTTGTTGATACAGAAATGTGGAGGGGGAGCAGAGGCCCATCTGTGGCTGTGTGCAGGGCCATTTCAGCTGCAAGCCCGCACAGAGCCTCCATTTATCTCCTTCCAAGAGCCTCATTTTCTCCTGGGTAGGGGTTGGCACATGTAGCAGCTGGGATGGGGGATGGTGACAGGCAAGGGGCTCAGGAATTGGGGGTCAGAGAAGATGGGTGGGAACTGGAGGCACTGGGACCCAGGCAAACAACCAAGAGTGGCCAAAGCTGGTGGTGCCAGTCTCAGAGGCTGAGTCTGTTTTTTCCYTTTATAAATGGATGAAGGCAGAACCAGTCTGGCTCAGAGAGTAACCTGTCACTGCTGGGTTCACTGGGCCCCAGGGGAGGGGTTGACACTTCTGTCAGCACATCTGGAGTGGGGGAAAGTGCACACCAAGCCTCTAGAGTGACCCTAGGAGGCAGATAAGGGGCCTGTTCTAGCCCCATGGACCCAACTAAATCTTCTTATGTCTTACAGGATTTGCTATGCAACTCAACTAAGATCTCCATCTTCTCTCCACGTGCCCAGACATTCCTGCTGGATGTCTGTTTATACCAGTGACAGATACAGACATTCCCAAAACTGTCTTCCTTCTACTAGTTCATCTTCATCGTCTTTATCAACTATTCATCTATATTTGGTTCTTTTTTTAAAAAAATATATTACTTCAGTTGTGGATGAATCTTTATCTTTATTTATTTTTATGCGGTGCTGAACCCAGTGCCTCATACATATTAGGTAGACGCTCTATCACTGAGCCACAACCCCAGTCCTATATTTGATTCTTTATTTCCCTTCTACCTGCTGGAATACAAGCCTTGCCTAAAACAGGGCCTAGCACACAGTGGGCGCTCAACAAAAATTTGCCAAATAAATGAAAATGTCCATTTTTCTTATTTTTTTCTCTGACCTCAACGGTACCCTCCTTTGTTAATACTTCCCCAACTCAGGGAGGAGGAAAAGGAATGTGGTAAAGAGAATCTTACATTTGAATTTTAACAGCCTGAACTGAAGGACTCAAAACACATCCATACTACRCACTTTTGAATTCTGAGAAAAAGCTCTGCTAGGAACAGTTCAAGAGGGAAGACAAAAGATGGCAAAACTAGTTACTGACAAAAGAGAGAATGGTGCAAGAGGCTTTTTAGAAGGCTCAAAAAAGAGCTGATGGGGGCTGGGGATATATAGCTCAGTTGGTAGAGTGCTTGCCTCACATGCACAAGACCCTGGGTTCAATCCCGAGCACCATCATACACACACACACACACACACACACAAAAAAAAAAAAAAAAAAAAAAAGAGCTGATGGGGCCAAGAGGACTATATCTGCTCAGGGGTTAGAGACAAAGTCCTAACTCAAACTCTTCTAGGATCTGTGATGGTAGGAAAACAGGGAAACAAGGGAGATAATGGTGGGCACGGCAGCTTCTTTGCAAATCTGCCCAGGTTCAGGGTGAAACACATCTACTAAGAGATGTAGGAAGTAAAAGGTCAGAGATAAAAATATGCAAGGACAGAGAGCAGGGACTTGGGTTTGCAATGCATCTTGGGCATTCTTACTTCCCAAGAAGATACAATTCTCATGGGACAATGGTGTGGGTAGTGATGGAAGGAGGTAGATAGATGGGTAGAGGGATGTTGTCTTGTTTTGCTGGAACTCACTACTGCTCTTGGGGGTAAGGGAAGCTGAAACTAGAAAAGAAGTAATTATGTTGGCCGGTGAATTCATGACTTCCTCACTGTTGCCCGCACAGTATCTGGAAGACAGAAGATATCTCTGGTGAACAAACACCATGTCTGCTTAATGAGAATAAAAGGCAAGTTGACTATGGATAAATCCCAGCCTGGCGATCTGAAGCTTTTCCCTTTACAGCTCTACTGAGGCCTGTCAAGACAGAAGGGATTCTCCTAAAATGCCCAGGCTTTAGGGTACAGCTGGGCCAAGGGTGAGTGAAGCAAAATAGTCAGAAAGCCTGACCAATGTAGTTCTAATTGGATCCAAGCGGCTAGACAATAATCATCAATTAAAATGCACTTAACATTCATGAGGCTACCCACTTCTAAGGGACAGAAATGCTGAACACTGTAGGGCATGGACAGAGTGCTATTTATCTTTGTATCCTCTGTGTCTGGCTCACTGCCTGGCACATGGTAGGCACTCAATAAATGACTGGTGAATGAACCACCCAATCAAGGGAAAACATGAAAGAAACTGGGAGCATCCAATGAGAGGAAAGGCATTTGGACAGAGGTTTTAGATTCCTATCCCTGACTTTTCCTCTCCCTTTCCCAGTGCACGCACGCGCGTACACACACATACACACACACACACACACAGAGTCCCATCCTTTTCATGTGATTCTGGCAATGATATCACCACCCATCTTTTAGGGTCTCAGTTTCTTTGCTGTCTCTCTAAGCTATGCAGTTTTTCTCAGAGTTTTTAATTTTTATTTTGAGACAGTTGCACAGGGCCTTGCTAAGCTGCTGAAGCTGGCCTTGAACTTGCAATTCTCCTGTCTCATACTCCTCCCTAAAGGCTACCAGGATTACAGGTGTGCACCACCATGCCTGGCTTTCTCTGTTTTGAAACCAGGACAAACCTGTTTGTTGGAGGGAGATTTCCTCTCTACCGTTTTCTTCAGTTATTGATGTGTTCCAATCCCTGCATTTTCATCTTGTGCAAAATATACTGCCAATATTAGTCTCTCCCAATGTGGTTATCACATTTATCCCCATACCTCTACTCAACTCAAGATCTGCAGAGGCACTCATCAAGTTTACTGACTATCCTGAAAAGAGCTTCAGGTTTTTTTTAAAATCCCAAGTCTTGCGAAAAAGAAGAAGAAGAAAAAAAAGAGTTCCGTCTTGTCCACACATCCCACAAGAAACAAAGCCTCAAGAACCGTGTAAGCGGATATTGAAACTGCTGCCTGAAGAAAGAAATCATGGGTTGGAGAGTGGTTCTTTCAAGGAACCAGATGCCAAACCGATGGACCTGATAAAGTGCGTAGAGGCCACCCGCTAACCGTCATGTCTTTTGAGCCTTACAGGTACTGGGCACAGCGGAGTACTCAGAGCGCACCTCCCCGCCCGTGTGTGCGCGTCTATTCCCGGACATACGGCGTTGCCGAGGGAGACCGAGCCTATCAGACTCGAGGCGGGTGGCACGGCTCACGGCAGGCGCCGGGAGCCTCGGCAACTCGGCCGTGTCAGGCCTCGAGACAGGAGAGGAGTTGCGGGCCAGAGGACTTCAATGCATACCCAGGGCGCCCCAGCTCTGTTACTCACCCGAACTCCACCTCCACTGACAAGGGCGCTGCCATGTTGAGGAAGCCGAGCTCGCAGGAAACTCCCCTGAACTTCCGGAGCTCCCGCCCACTTCCGGTCTCCGCCTGGAGCCACGTCCGGAAAAGGCGGTGCCCAAAGGTCATCCTCCTCAGCTATTGGAAGGCGCGGAGGGCGGAGGAGGGAAAGTCACGGGCGTTCCCGGGGATCAGGAGTCGATGTGCCTCCGCCTGTTGGCGGCCGGGTTCCAGGACCCGGACTGGGAATCAACTTGAGACCGCAGCTAGGCGGAAGACAGCCCCAGCACCTTTTCGACAGACTGTGAGCCACATTACTGTTTATCTTGCGTTAGTTACAAATCTGTCTTTAGCCTACATACCGCTTGGGCGAGCCCATTCACTCGTCTGACGTCATAGTGACCTCCTAAATATTTCTGACACAAAAGTCTCTCCCCTGATCTATCAACTCACTGTCCAACCGCCCCTTTGGATATTAAGCTGCCTGTCACTACTCAGAATTTATTCCATGTTCATGTGCCCAGCATCTTGTTTGGTGCTATGGATGCAGTAGCAAGGGGCAGGGAGTGTGTGTGTGTGTGTGTGTGTGTGTGTGTGTGTGTGTGTATATGTGTGTGTATGTTTTAAAACCCTCTTTGTGTTGGGAATCGAACCCAAGGCCTCGTACATGCTAGGCAAGCACTTTATTACTGAGCTACATTCCTAACATGCAGTATCTTTAGGGCACTCACAGTCTAACCGGGGGGAAAAAAATCTGTAATAAAATAAACATGCTGGGCTGGGGTTGTGGCTCAGTGGTAGAGCGCTCGCCTAGCATGTGCGAGGCCCTGGGTTCGATCCTCAGCACCACATAAAAATAAATAAAATGAAGGTATCGTGTCCACCTACAACTAAAAAGGAAAATATTAAAAAAAAAACAAATTTAAGCATGCTAATCAATCATATATATATATATATATATATATTTTTTTTTTTTTGTACCGGGGATTGAACCCAGGGGCCCTTAACCACTGAGCCACATTCCCAACCCTTTTTTTTAAAAATAAGTTTTTAATTGTAAATGGATTCTTTTTTTTTTTTTTTTAGTTGTAGTTGGACACAATACCTTTATTTATTTTTATCTGAGGTTCGAACCTAGGGCTTCACACGTGCTGGGCTAGCGCTCTACAGCTGAGCCACAACCCCAGCCCCTGAATCTTTATTCTATTTATATAAGGTGCTGAGAATTGAACTCAGTGCCTCACAATGCTAAGGCAAAAGCTCTACCACTGAGCTACAACCCCAGTCCCCCAGCCCTTTTTTGTTTAGAGCCAGGGTCTCACTGCGTTGCTTAGGACCTCACTAAGTTTCTGAGGCTGGCTTTGAACTTGCCATCATCCTGCCTCAGCCTCCTGAGCTGCTGGGATTATAGGCATGTGCTACCATACCCAGCTAAGAAAGGCTTTTTTTTTAAAGAGAGAGAATTTTTTAATATTTATTTTTTAGTTTTCGACGGACACAACATCTTTGTGTATGTAGTGTTGAGGATTGAGCCCGGGCCGCACGCATGCCAGGCGAGCACGCTACCACTTGAGCCACATCCCCAGCCCAAAGAAAGGCTTTTAAGTGGTAAGACACTTCAGTAAGAAAGGGGGAGCTGGAAATGTAGTTCAGAGGTAGAGCCTTAAGTTCAGTCCCCGGCACTGCAAATAAATCCGACTGGACTTGCTGGTCTCTAAAGCCTAAGTAGAGTGAATTGAGTGGATATGAGAGAAGCATTCCAGTGAGGAGAGCAAAAGGTGAAAATAAGCTGAAGCATCAAGGGAAGAAAGTGGAAGTTGGGAGCAGAGATGGAAATTGCTAAGAGATGAGGCTAAGCCAAGCCATGCCTTATAAGCCAGGTAAGCATTTCAGTGTGTAGGAGCACTACTGCTTGACTTGAGGCTGTGGAAGGTTTGGGGAGGGATGGAATTGTGCTTTAAAATAACTCAGTGGTAGAGTGGTTGCCTAGCATGTGCAAAGCCCTGGTTCAATCCCCAGCACCACAAACAAATAAAAATTTAAAAACTTTTTTCTGGCTGCAGTGTCAAATGGTTTGGAGGGAAACACGGAAGAGGATATGGAGACAACTGAAGTTTGTTACAAAAACCCAAGGCAGAAATGGAGTGGAGCAGAGTGGGTGTTCTATGGGTCTCTAAACATTAGTACTCCCAGAGTTGAGCACTGGTAGAGGATGGTGATGTAGCCTGATGGTTAAAGATGTAGTGATTATGTTAAGAGCTAGCAAAAAAAAAAAAAAAAAAAAAAGAGCTAGCAGTTCGGCTGGATGCAATGGCACATGCCTGTGATCCCAGCAACTCAGGAGGCTGAGGCAGGGGGATCATAAATTAGAGACCAGCCTCAGCAACTTAGTGAGACCCTGTCTCAAAATAAAAAAATAAAAAGGGCTGAGGACTTAGCTCAGTGGTAAAGCCACACTGGGTTCAGTCCCCAGCACCAAAAACAAACAAAAAAACCCTAGCAGTTCAACTGCCAGTTTTTATCCAGGTCTGCCCTAGCTGTTTCTTTGGGCAGGTCCCTTAACAATTTGTGTCCCAGCTTCCTCATTTGTAAAATAGGAAGAATAGTTTCTTACAAGGGCTTGGAAAGGACTGAATGAGTTCTTGGCACAGTGCCTCTTTCCCTAAAATAGGCTCTGTGTTGCCCATCTTTGGGGTGTAGGTGCCACTGCCCCTCACACAAATACCAAGATACTCAAATACTTGAATATTGATTTAAGTATTTTCCTCCATTCAACCACCAAATTTGGACCAGTCTTACTTTTGACATGATTTTGCAACCCCCCAAATTTTCCCTGACACCCAGCTCCCAACACCCTCTCACCTACATCTGCTTCCTCTGGCCTATCTGCCTGTGGCCTTAGCTTCATGTGCAGTTAAACTCCATGGACAACTCTGGGCCCCTTCAGTGTGCCAGGCAGTGTTCTAGGGCCCTGACAAAACAAGGGCAAATGAGATATAGCTCTGGTTCTCATAAAATGCAAGTGAGTCTACATGTCCTACATGGAAAGGCCCCCCCCCCACACACACACACATACCATGCTACATGGGCCACTTCCCCTCTGGAACTCAGTTTCCTCAATCTGTAAAGAGAGTCTGGGACCAAATGATCTCTTAAGAGTCTTTCAGCAAAAAATATTCTTAGATTCTTCCACTGAATTCTTAGCTTCTCCAGAGCAAAAACCTTTTCTGATTCATCTTGGATCGTTATCCTGTAAGGAGGAACTTTATACATCATAGGGATTTGGTAAGTGCTTGCTGAATGAGCAAAAAAAATTAACAAGTGATATTTGCCAGCAAGGGCCCATCTAGAAAGCATTCAGGTCCTTTTACAGCCTCTGATCCCAACCAGCCTCTGCTGGGTATCTTAAGATCCTAGGAATTGCCACTTCCCAAGAGATTGCTTGGGAGCATTTGAAGAGCATCCTCCATTAGAAAAACATTCATTGAGCACCTGTTAAGTGCCAGGCCCAGTGCTGGTGCTGGGAACACAATGGTGCACAAAAACAGCTAGTTCCTGCCCTCTTGGGGCTGATGTTTCAAAAGAATGGAAGGCAAAACAGGATGCATGGTGAGATGAGTGTTATGGAGGGGAACAGGGGAGCTATTGGAGGCCCCAACCCAGCTTCATGATCTCAGATCCACTGGGATTTAGAAGGAAGAGGTGGAGTTGGGGAAGGAGAGGGCACMGGCAGACCAGAGTTGTCCCTCCTTCCTCTAGATTCTAGGTAGTCCTCAGACTTGTCCTGGYTACTGGGAGCTCACCTCTTGAGTAAGCTGGCCCGGTTCTGTGGCTTCCCACCTCTCACTCAAAAGTGCTTCCTTTACCTGACCCCAATCCCATTCCCTTGAACCCCTCAGTGACAATACTGTTTTACCAGTGTATGCCTTCAAAGAATATTTATTGAACTTGAACATTGTCTTTGCATCTGCCAGGTGATTTACATGCATTACCTAATTTATTCCTCCCAGGACTCCCATCTTTCCTATGAGTAAACTGAGACAGAACATGTGGCTTGCCCAAGGACCCCTAAGTATGAGGCCTCAAACCAGGTTTTAGAGCCTTCAGGATCCCTTCTGTGTCCCTATCATTGAGCCTCAATGCCTTCCCTTCAACTAGTCTCAACCAAATGTCTTTCGCTGGGACCCAGAACAGGGGTTTGGGCCCCAAACCCTATCCCTTCCAGCAGGCTGTCCAGCCAGGGCATAGGCCTCCATCCTCTCTGAAGCTTCTGGGGAGACAATGGCAGGGTTGGTGGGGGAATTGAGGGCTCGGGTGCCCCCCTGCCCACACCCTTTGTCTTCCCGCCTGCTCCTCTCACTCGCCCCGGGAGGCTGGGAGGCTGGGAGTCGCCTCTCGCAGGCTTCCTCCTCCCATTCTTGTGCTAATTGGGTGTCAAGCTGAGATCAGTGAGAAAGAAATCCGCCCTGGCTCKGGTTAAACTGCCGCCAAAGATGAGGGCTGAGCCCAGAATATCATTAGACCAGGAGGAAGCAGGGCCCCTTTTGGGGGAGGGACTGGCAGCGCATTCAGGCCCCTTTGAAAGTCACTCAGTCACCCCCTCCCTTGCTGTTGCCATTTCAATGGGCCCCTCAGAGGTATTTAACCTTCCCAGGAATTGAAAGTGATAGCCACGCACTGGCCTGGGCAGCCACTTGCCTGTCCCGAGGGCAAATGGACCTCCAGGGACGCTGCAGCCCAGCCCTTTCCAGCCTTCTCCTGTGGAACAGGCAGGTTGCAGATGGGAACACTTCTCGGAAGGGGATTTTTCTCCCAGCTCTGCCATTCTCAGGCTCTGTGGTCTTTCACATAAGGCTCAGATTCCTCATCTGCAGAATGGGGATGAAAACTGTACCTACTTTGCATTAAGAAAATTTAATGAAACCATGCACAGAAAGCCCTTTGCACAGGGCTGGTGCACAGGGTCTGGTACTCAGGCAGCCCCAGACTTGACAGCAAGTCTAAGGAAGTTGGTTTGACCAGCTACTAGGACCTCCAGATGTCTGGCCTCGATTCTAATCCCCTTTA